TTCATTTCTTGAAACTAATTGGGAAGCCCCCCGGTCTCTACCCCATGCCCCGGCTCCTTCAGCTATGTCTAAGAGCATGATTTGCTACCATATCATCTTAGCCCACTGCCACCGCTGCTTAATATTGAGCGACTTGTTTATTCGACTGAATTATTCGACTGAAGTATTCGACTGAACTATTCGACTGGTTTATTCGACTGAACTTTTCGACTGAATTATTCGACTGGTTTATTCGACTGGATTATTCGACTGAACTAACTGACTGATTTTATCGACTGGACGAGGCCACATGAAAATGTCAAATACCTCATCCCCCCCCGCCCCACCCCATCCCCTTTCTTCGTTCATATCATATATAGGGACTCTATTCTTTTCGAGGCGGACAAGGACAGCTGTCTAGTCGTTCGGATGGGACGAAAAACCGAGGTCCCGTGTATACATTGGAGTGGACGTAAAAGATCCCTTTGACAGATGGAATTCGATATAAGAGTAGGCCGTAGTGCCGCTGTCCGGGCAAAATTTCCCTCATCGCACAGTGTATGGCGTCTGCCCGTCTTCATTAGCCCAGTTCCAAGCAGAACAGAAGGACGTTAAACCCCATTTCATTTCTTTTCATTTCTTGAAACTAGTTGGGAAGCCCCCCGGTCCCTACCCCATGCCCCCGGCTCCTTCAGCTATGGCTACGAGCATAATTTGCTACTATATTATCTTAGCCCGCTGCCACCGCTGCTTAATATTGAGCGACTTGTTTATTCGACTGAATTATTCGACTGAACTATTCGACTGGTTTATTCGACTGAACTTTTCGACTGGTTTATTCGACTGGATTATTCGACTGAACTAACTGACTGGTTTTATCGACTGGACGAGGCCACATGAAAATATCAAATACCTCATCCCCCCCCACCCCCGCCCCACCCCATCCCCTTTCTTCGTTTATATCATATATAGGGACTCTATTCTTTTCGAGGCGGACAAGGACAGCTGTCTAGTCTTTCGGATGGGACGAAAAACCGAGGTCCCGTGTATACATTGGAGTGGATGTAAAAGATCCCTTTGACAGATGGAATTCGATATAAGAGTAGGCCGTAGTGCCGCTGTCCGGGCAAAATTTCCCTCATCGCACAGTGTATGGCGTCTGCCCGTCTTCATTAGCCCAGTTCCAAGCAGAACAGTAGGACGTTAAAACCTCATTTCATTTCTTGAAACTAGTTGGGAAGCCCCCCGGTCCCTACCCCATGCCCCCGGCTCCTTCAGCTATGGCTACGAGCATGATTTGCTACTATATTATCTTAGCCCGCTGCCACCGCTGCTTAATATTGAGCGACTTGTTTATTCGACTGAATTATTCGACTGAACTATTCGACTGGTTTATTCGACTGAACTTTTCGACTGAATTATTCGACTGGTTTATTCGACTGGATTATTCGACTGAACTAACTGACTGGTTTTATCGACTGGACGAGGCCACATGAAAATGTCAAATACCTCATCCCCCCACCCCCGCCCCACCCCATCCCCTTTCTTCGTTCATATCATATATAGGGACTCTATTCTTTTCGAGGCGGACAAGGACAGCTGTCTAGTCGTTCGGATGGGACGAAAAACCGAGGTCCCGTGTCCACATTGACGTGGTCGTAAAAGATCCCTTGACAGATGGAATTCGATATAAGAGTACGCCGTAGTGCCGCTGTCCGGGCAAAATTTCCCTCATCGCACAGTGTATGGCGTATGCCCGTCTTCATTAGCCCAGTTCCAAGCAGAACAGTAGGACGTTAAAACCCCATTTCATTTCTTTTCATTTCTTGAAACTAGTTGGGAAGCCCCCCGGTCTCTACCCCATGCCCCGGCTCCTTCAGCTATGTCTAAGAGCATGATTTGCTACCATATCATCTTAGCCCACTGCCACCGCTGCTTAATATTGAGCGACTTGTTTATTCGACTGAAGTATTCGACTGAACTATTCGACTGGTTTATTCGACTGAACTTTTCGACTGAATTATTCGACTGGTTTATTCGACTGGATTATTCGACTGAACTAACTGACTGATTTTATCGACTGGACGAGGCCACATGATAATGTCAAATACCTCATCCCCATCGCCCCCCTAACCCAACATATCATATATAGGGACTCTATTCTTTTGGAGGTGGACAAGGACAGATGTCTAGTCGTTCGGATGGGACGAAAAACCGAGGTCCCGTGTACACATTGGCGTGCACTTAAAAGATGGGGGCATATGGGGATGAGGGAAAAAGTCAAGCATGACTTTATTAAGCCGCGGTGGCAATAACTAAGATAACACCTTAAAGTTTTAATTTGAACAATCAAATTTGAACATGAGGGGACGTAAAAAATAAACAAAAACAATGATAAAAGATATTGGAATTAGTGCGTTTTTTCTTTAACTTATACAGATTACAAACGATTCCAAAATTTTAATAAGCCATCGACCGGTTTATTCGACTGACTATTTGTTTTGGACTTAGGGTCGACTCAAAACTTACATGGAGGCCGCCATTTTGGCCTTTTACGTAAACAAATCTCCATGCAGCAATGCGATTCCGAACGTTCAACAGGCTCGATTTATATCAACTTTCGCATTATTTGTAATTTGGTGCTTATTTCAAGGAAAACATAATTACGTCTGACCATGGAACTGTGGTCTGACAATATTCCTCATGTACATCGGTTTTTTTAGCCATAGAACTCTATCAATGTTTTAGCTATGAACGAAAACATAATTCTCCCGTGCTGAGCATCATGAGTCGATAACACTATTGCTGGCTTGACAGCTCCAGAAAATAAAAAAAAATAGCCTTATTCTAAGTACTAGATGTGTTAGTACCTGTTGTGTAAATTATCCATTAAATCATATTTTACTTGTCCAGAGGGTTCAAAAATATTTTTAAATCCAAGTCACATTTGAAAAGCTTTTACGTCAGGCTTTTCAAATCATTTAGTTGAATTTTTCCAATTTTTTAAATTAGGTGTGTTAAAATGAAATTTGTATCATCAATTAATTGGAATATTGTAAAATAGTACAATTTGTTGACCAGAATAAAGATTGGGACATATTATTCAGTTACAACAAGAGTGGTATTGAGCCTTTAATCTTCCGACTGAGCTAATCCGCGAAAACTAATACTGGATCCCTTGCTTGATAATATTAGGTTATGTAATATGTGTATTATCATATATATGTTATATGGAAATGTGAATTTGCTGAGTTACTTTCCTTCAATTGTGCAGGCTTATCTGTAAAGTGAAATGAAATGAAATGAAATGGGGTTTAACATCCTATAGTCTACTGTTCTCCTCCGAACTGGGCTAATGAAGACAGACATACGCCATACAGTGTGTTATGAGGGAAATTTTGCCCGTACAGTGGCACTACGGCCTACTCTTATATCGAATTCCAACTGTCAAGGGATCTTTTACGTGCACTCCACGTGCACGGGTCCTCTGTTTTTGATCCCATCCAAACAACTAGACAGCTGTCCTTGTCAGGCCCTCTGTCCTGCATCAATGGCAAGGGGGTAACCACGCTGGAAAATCTGGATGAAGTTTCTTGGCCAATGCAGGGGTCGAACACCTGACTTCCAGGCTAGCGAGGCAGAGTCTTACATACTTAGCTGTTTGTAAAGTACTTAAAATATAAGATATTGTCTGTTCATATATACTCTTCAAAAAAAAGTAGGGGATATTCAGAAACTATACAAAACTGCGGAAATGCACTGCTGTATTTATTAGAGGTAACCAGTGTATGTTAATAACAGGCCAATTGCCTACACATGAACATAAACAGTTCATATGGGCGGCTTATCTGCTGGCCCCATTTCACTTGTAAAGAGATTTTTGTCTTAATAATGAGTAATTGCTCCACCAATCCTTGGTCGTTCAGCAATTCGTCGTGGCATGCTCCTAATCAACCGTCGAATCACGATTTGGGGCAATCTGACGTTGATGTCGACGGACACGTCTAGCCCGATCAAATTAAACGTAACACACTAAATAAGCAAAGATACGTTAAACAGTAAATCTTATGCAAGAACCGATAGGAAAGCAAACATGGATAGGATAAACCAGCACGCGGCAGTTTTCATCAACCCTTCCTTGAAGTGTCAAATTTGACAATGAACCCCTCCCACGTGTATGGCGCTATTGCGTCGCATGTGCAGCTCAGTGGCTCTGTTGGGGCGATAAGTTCTTCCATCTGTGAACATACTCTCAAAGCATGTCAAGTGTCCATGACTATTTATATCACAACCTGCATAGGTATTTGCATTTCAATATCCCCTACTAATTTTTAAAGAGTATATGCTCAACAAAATATACAATTTGTCATTATGTGATTCATTTGCTGCATTCCGGGCGACACATTTCTTCTTTTCAGAAATATAAACTTGCTTTCAAAATTACTTTTAAAACTTGCAGGTATTCTTCCCTATAACAGCTGAGAAATGAGGTTTTACATGTTGGAAACAGAAATAAGAAAGTCTTCACAGGTAATTGGGATTTTTAGAAGAGGTAGTGGTTTTGATCAAGATTACCTGTTGTCTGAATCTTCAGGTGTTTTTCTCTGTTTGCTATTTTTATCAGATGTCAACTTATCAGAGGTCAGGGAACAGATTTGGCCTAGAGAATATGAGGATGGGTTGAAAGCTAATCCTTATCACAGTGATTATCCAAAGACCACCCAGCTACCAAAATCCTTACTAGATGGGGAATTATTTTTGTTTGTGCTGAACTTTTTCATTTATGTAAAACAATACACATCTGATATACCACTTACTACTGGACAATTTACATAGAGCTAACGAATGTTTGTTATAATGTCAATATAATCAAACTAGATAAAGTTATCCATCCAAAATTTGGTACTGACAAATTTCCATGTGATCTGACATGGTTAATTTTCATATTACAGTCATAAACAATGTCTCTTTTAATTTAATACATTGGGAGACTAGTAAAAATAAAATAAACAAAATTTACATTGTTTTCATCATTACATTTAATGTCAATCTACAAAAAGTGTTTCCCACATTAATTATGTGATTGAGTTTCAAACTGCAAATCATGTTCTTATAAATACAATGTATGTCAAATGTACAATAATTACAAATGAACTGAATATAATCATGATGGCAAAATAGCTCAACAACCAAATAGGATATTTTAAATTTTAAATGAAAGCATAAGTTAATTTTTTTTTTTTAAATAAATACAGCAAATATGAAAGTTTCCCCAAATCACAAAACACATTGCCACATAGATAAACAACTGAACCTGGTTAAGTTTACAATCCTAGTAAACAGTAAGTTTAACAGAAACCTATCAGATCCGATAATATCTCTTTAATGCTGTCCGCAAAATAAAATGTACATTACTAATTAATAACATTGTATCTTGGTTACAACCTCTCTCTCTTTATTCATTTAGCCAAAAACAAAATAAAACTAGTAACAAACCAATAACTGTTTTATCTTTCAAATTTAATCCTACAAATCTTGTCTCATCTCTAATCAAAATAGCACATCAGAACTGCCGAATCCTACATTATACTGCAAGGGAAGACAACTCTGTTTGGGAGATTGCATATAACCATGACTGTTCAAATATATTTACATTTCCTATCTAGAAGGCAACATTTACAAATATATGATTTATTTACATATATTTACAATGATCTGATCTATATATATATATACATGGATGTAACAACGTGACAGTGTCAAAACAAAAACATATAAAAATGCTATTTTACAGGTTTAGATTTAGTTATCGTTATCTGACCATACAGTGTAAACACATCCTTATAAAAACTAATTTATAAAATCGTATATATATATATTTTGATTTATCAAAGAAAACAAATCATCTGATGTCATTATACACAGAATTTCGACATAAGAAACAATGTCTTCATAAAATGTACATGTATTGAGGTTTTCAATATAAAGTTGACACCAATTTCAGTGTAAAATAGGGATTCAGATTTGATGCCATCAAATGAGGACTGGTCATTTTGCTGGTTTCAATTAATGTAGCCAAGATTATAAACCACTGAAGTGGGTGACAAAAATGGAATTATGTTTGAAGGAGTAGTCCCAGGTTTCTAAGAATATTTCACACAGAATTAACTCATCTGATTGACTAAATATATATATCTGGGAGGTCTCTTTTAACATCTCAACAACATATTCCTTTGGTCATTTTAAAACTTAAACAATGTCACCTATTTTTAATACAATATTCCAGTACCATGTATCCTTTCCACCTGTAGACTTAAAGCTAGCAATTCAGTGTATAGTTTAATGCAGACACTAACTCCTACATAACTGTGGTAGACTTAAAGCCAGCAGTCCAGTGTATATTGCAGAGACTAATTCCTACACAAATACTGTCTATGGGAACTTTCAGCTATGCCTGCGGACCTCTGCAAATGTCAATGAATAATGAAGAATGATTGTCTAGCACTAGTTTATTTACATACATAATATAAACACATTCATTATTTCTTCTTGGCTTTACTCTTGCCCTTTCCCCTGGGACGACCTCTCCCACGCCCTCTACCTCTTCCTCTGGTGGGCTTTTTACCACTAGTTTCACCATCTGCTTCCTGTAAAAATATAACATATTTCATGCAACTCATTAAATATCCTTGAGCAGTTTTGTAATCTGCAACACTTAATATAAATTTTTTTTTCATAAGGGCATTGAGAAAAACATGTCTTTGTTCAACATTTTTTGACGAAAAACGTAATTTAACGGCGTCGGAACGTTAAAGACGCTCGATGTGGTTGAAATACTTATGAATTATTCCGAATCGGATTATATCGATGACACTGATTCAGAAGACGATATTTCTGATGAAAAGGATTTAGAATGATTTGCAAATTATAGATCAACTTATCCCCAGCAACTTTTTTACTGGTGTCAAGAGTCTATCACTTATAATTATTCGGCAGTAGGCGATTGAAATAGGCATACAAAATATTTCACGTCTGCCTTTATTTAGCCTGACCTCTTGACGTCATAACGTCAAAATGACGTCGACCGGTTAAGGGTTAAGTAATTAGCGCTATTTAAATATTCAATTGAAATGATCAATATAGGGACTTTTTTTGGTACATTTTACGATTTCAAGGAATAAATTATCTTTCAAAAAAAAATATATAATCTGTTTGTAAATTTTTAGTTAATATTAGTAAATATTTCATAGGGGACAAGAACATTTCGTTATTTTAATTTATATTTAATAACAAATATGAAAAATTCATTACAAAAAGCCTTGAAAAACTATGCATATTCATTTATTTGTGTAAGCAGTGTCACATTATATCAACAATAAACTTTCTAATGAGAGTAAAAAATCATTAAACAAACCAACTACCTTACTGATAAGGAAACATTTGAACTATAATTTGGCAATGTGATATGTATTGCATTGATCAAAGAACTGAATGTGAATTAGACTTAAAACTTTTAGAAGTTTTTGGATTCAGCAGCCTCACTTCATGCATGATTACAATCTTAAAAAAACAAACAAACATGAACTCACTGCTTCTTCTTGATTTGCTGTGGAAGAATCTAGATCTTCTTCTTGACTGTCCATAGATACATCTGCACCTTCCTCGCTCTCATCTTGTGACCCTTGGGGGGTGTCTACCTCATCAGCAACCTTTTCTACTGGATCATCTTCCGTATGGATGAGTAATTTGGTTTCATCTGGACTTTCTGGAGCTTCATCCCCTGCAGCTTTAAGTTTGGCTTCTTCCGCTTCTTGGGCTTTCTGAGCTGCCTGCTCTGCCTGCACCTGGGCAGCCTTTGCATCAGCCTCTTCCGCCTTAGCTTTTGCATCAGCCTCTTCCTTAGCTTTTGCATCAGCCTCTTCCTTAGCTTTTGCATCAGCCTCTTCCTTAGCTTTTGCATCCGCCTCTGCCTTTGCTTTGGCATCAGCATCTGCCTTTGCTTTGGCATGGGCCTCTGCCTTTGCTTTGGCATCGGCCTCTGCTTTTGCCTTGGCATCAGCCTCTGCCTTGGCATCAGCCTCTGCCTTTGCCTTTGCTTCAGCATCTGCCTTAGCTTTGGCGTCAGTGTCTGCCATAGTTTTGGCTTCCTTTTCTTCTTTTTCTCTTGCTTCTGCCTCCTGTTGTGCTTTGGCTTCTTGTTCTGCCTTCATTTCCTTTGCTCTTGCTTCTGCCTTGGCTATTGCATCCCTTACCATTTTTCTCTTGGCCTCTGCCTCAGCCTTTGCCCTTTCTTCCCTTTCCGCTTTTGCTTTGGCCTCTTTCCTCTCTTGAGCAATTTTCTCTTCGGCTCTTCGTTTGGCATCTTCCTCTGCCTTTTTCTTGGCTTCTTCAGCTGCCTGTAAAAAATAAATCAATGACATAAATGATTGAGTAAAACATGTACATTTGGTAACTTGAAAAGACAGATACGAAGAGGGTTACATCTGGAGAATGAGGGTGTGCACTATGCATAAAGCAGATGTAGTAAATGCCCCCAAACCTCCCCGTTTCAGAGCCTGCACCTACCTAAGCATAAATTACTTCCTAACTGTGGTCTCTAGTGTTATTATGAATGAATGGACAATTGAGACTACCATAAACTCGACAACAAACCCACAGTTGAATCTCAGCATGCACGGTGAGTAGTAGTAATAGGTGAGAGCATGCAGTCCTGAAGGCCATGAATGACAGTTTGATGATAATAGAACAATCATCATAGATTACTTCCATGAACATTACATTTGTTTCCAGTTTTAAAGGGACTATCCCGATTTGAACAGTGTCTCAAAAATTAGATTCCAAGTATGTATGAATTTTAATCGCCAAAATATAGAGGAATGGTGTATTTACCCTGTCTCAAAATTTCAGCTCAAAATATTGAGTCGTTTGGACGTGAACGTCAAAAGTGCTTATCCGGACACGTAACCCTTTTAAGATTTCGGTTCAATTTTTTTGTTGGGTGACCTGATAATCGATTCCCGTTCCTTTAGAGGTCTATACATCGAATGACCCATGTGCTGTACTTGAATAATGAAAGGTAAATTTCACCTACACATTATTTTTATGAAATAAAAGTCTGGTTTTATCCAGACGCCATATAATACAGCTTGGGACACCATTTCAAGATGAAGACTGACAAGTTTAAGTTGTTTAGAAACGTATCGCGTATATTCATTATATTGAGTTAGTTGCTCGGCCCTAAGGTAGAGGATTCTACGGGATTTTAACACAAAATTAAGCAGTTTTATTTTCCTAAATATTATCGGGATTGGCCCTTTAAAGAATCGGTGATAGTTAATCCTGATATTTTATTATTAATATCCTGTGAGATTAAAAAAAATACAAACCTTCCTCGCTGCCACTTGCCTTTCCTTCTCAGCTCTTTCTTTTTCTAATTTCACTCGTTCGGCCTTCTCTTTCTCTGCCTTTTCTTTTTCTAACCTCATTCGTTCGGCCTTCTCTCTATTTGCCATTTCTTTCTCAAGCTGCAATTTTTCTGCATTCAGTTTTTCCACACGGAGACGTTCCTCCTCTACTTTTCGCTCTTCTTCGTGAGGATCTTTTTCTAATACAGTCATTATTGATTTTGGTATATGTGCTTGCTTTTGAATGAAAATATAAACAATAGGATTAATTAGTTACTTCAGAACAAACAGAATAGAAGGGTGATTAAAGTCTAATCAATACAATACTTTTAGTCATATTGGGGTTATGTGTGTAAAACATGAATTTTGCCCAGGCAACAGTATTTTTGCCTACTTTTCAACAAATTCCAATTGCTTAAGTCCCTGAACATGCATGCCAATGTGTACATGGGTCACAACTAAGCACTCTTTCCTTATCAGACCAGGCACCCCAGCCGACAAGTGAGAACCAGGCTTGAAATTTCACTCATTCACTCTTAAAAACGATTATTGTCTGAAGTAGTTCGGAAGACAAATTAGAAGAGGAAAATGTGTAAGTAAGTAGTCGGTTTACATGCCTGTCATTAATATTGGATTTAGACAGTACGTAAGATATGTTTGCATTATGGATGATAACCTTCATAAAGTATATTTTCAGATGCTGTATTTAGTACAAAATTTACCTGATGTGGAGTAAGAGATTGAACATGTTCAAATAATGGAGCTCGTAGATCTGGTGTAATATCAAATACACTTTGTAACTGAGCCGGTGGTAGTTGTAATAAAACTTGGAATGATTGAGGTTTTGTTCTCTGACAACATTTTATAAATCCTTCCCATACTTTCTGTTGTTTCCATACCTTAAGAGAGAAAAAATGATTTTTCGCAAATTAAAATTAAACATACATTATTTATGCAAGAGCAAAATCTGATTATTGCAAGTCTTAATTTAGGCTTCAGATGTTATAGAAATTATAAATTAGATCTTTATTTAAACAACAAGCCCAAAATCAACTCTGTAGACCCACGGATGGCTCGGCTACAGCTCGGATTGAAATAGGATTTCACTTATTGATAAATTCAAATATGGCGCACCCTGATGAGAATACGTCAGTTAGATCGAGGCTAAATGATAGAGTGTACTTAGCGAGGCCGCTGTAAAGCGTTTCCGCATGCCATTGAAAACTTTACTTGATAATCGAGATATGTAGGTGGAGTTAACGCTTGTCAATAAAACGATCGACCAAGGTAAAGGCACACTTCACTACCATTTCTAGTCAAATATTACAACGATGATAACTATGTTCAGAATAAAGTAATTTGACTGAAATTTTCAATATATTCTTCTTTCATCATCTACTTTTGAACTGTTATAGCAAGAATGGCCAACTCTCTATAAAAATCTCCCATAATGTATCTTTAATGCTATCGTGGAATAAAATAAAAATATTAAATAGATACAATATGATAATCTGTAAGAAGGTAACCAGTTTCAAGATGGAATGAAAAGGAGTTTGATGTCGTACCAACTGCATATGTCATGCAGTGTGTTATGAGGAAAATTATGCTCAGCAGTGGTGATTCCACCTACACAGGCCCTCGATTTTACGTCCCATCTGAACAACTAGCCGCTTTCCTACCCAGTGCTGTGTTCTTAGTAACTAACAAGGTGAAACCACACTGGACAATACCAAGGAATTTCCTCTACCAACACCGGGATTGAACTCGAAACCTCCAGGTGATAGTGACTGAGCCATAGTAGCCCCTTCAGGTCAAGAAGCATATCGTCGGTGGGGAGTCAAAAGGTCATATCTGGCATATTTTGCGAAATTAACTTTTTTGCTTCTTCAGAATGAGGATTTTCTAGCACATCTTTTCATCTAGTTGTCATATTGATAAGCCAATAAAAAGAGGTTTTATAGATTTTGTTTCAAAATGTCGTATATGGGGTGTTCCAAAAAAAAAAACATTAAAAGTGAAAATGTCGTATTTTTTTAAAAAAAATTCAACTTTGTGTCTAACCAAAGTAATACAAATATGTATTATAGAAATTATTGTTGAGCGTCTACTGTGTGAATTAGACATTTTGATTCTTAACCTCTGTGTGTTTTTTGGCCCTCCTGGACAATTTCGCAAAATCCAGATACGACCTTTTGACTCCCCACCGACGATATAAGATTTAGACCTGCATAGAGAGAAATGTCTTAACAATAAGTAGAATATGGTGTGTTATAACTGACCTGTTTGGTAATTAATCGTTGTAAGATATTCATCACAAATCCTGTTAATCTAGGATACATTGATAATGATTGTAATACTGTTCTCATTAATAACGTAGGTAATGGATTAATCTCCATTAACTGTTGCATGGCTATAGCTAAAACTTCTGTCGTATATATAGTCTTCTCACTAAAACACAGGTTAGCAGCTAAAAATAGAAATGACATCTTATTTTCCTATTGTTAAAAACGTAAACTATAAAACTGGGTGTCTGTGACTACAGTGTTACAAATATGATCGCCACTAATTTCATTAAAGTGTAGTGCCTACAGAAGGCAATCATGGACAAGACAAGTTCTGTAAATGATGATTGTTTGTTCCCAGTGCATTGCAAATGAGTGGGCCTGCATGATTTGTCCGCCAATTGGCAAGCCGGTTTCTACCACGGCGTACGCCAGTCAGGTGACCATATCAAAGCAAATCAACTGACCCAACTTATAAACAATATGGCGTCGGATAATATTATAATATTAATCAAAAACAGTATTCTTGAAAGTATGACTATCAGTAAGTATTAATATTAATTATTAATATTAATATTGTTGATTTTCTGTTAAATCAAGTCACCTCGCCGCGACAACTGCCAGTATGCGCCGGTATGGACAAATCAATGAAGACTTATGACTTTTTGAAGGGAGAGAACTCTTGTCAAAATAGAAAGGATCAAAAGTCAGGATTTCTATTAGTCATGGTGAGTATTCAGGAACCCAAACGAACACACTATAAAGATTTGTCTATATATAACACTATACCTTTTATAACAGTTTTCATATCACATTTAGAAGGATCTATATTATGTAATGCTACCAATAACTCTGCTGGTGTCAGTGGGGAGGTGTAAGAAACAGCCGTGTCACCTGAAAATATATTTCTGATTATCAAATAATATTTAAACAATTTTGAAGTTTGTAAGTTGAATTCTGCATCTGACTTTTGTCATTGGTCTACAATGCTCATGTAAACCAATGAAATCAAACGAAACAGGAAAATATCATGAAGAATAGCATAAATCAGCTAAATAAGGCCATACATAACAAATATTCTGGTTCTCAGACAATCCTTAGCAAAAATCTGAGGTGGGAGGGAGGTTTTTATTTTTGTTTTGTCAAAAGGGTACTGATTCACTACTTGGTTAAATGACTTCTTATATACATATCAAATTTCAAGGCACTACATTTATCTTGTGTTGTTTAAAGGAATGTATGATTATCCAGTATCATTTATGATTTTTTATTTGTCTTGAAAAGTTATCAGGTTGTGCGCTGGATTCATTCAAATTCTTTTAAAGATTTACTTCCTGTAACAGAGGTAAAATATTTACTTGCAGTAATTAAAGATGCTGTTCTTATTTTTTAAAATAAAAACAGGTCATGCAGCCCTTTTGAAATGAAATGGGGTTTAACGTCCTACTGTTCTGCTCCTATACTGGGCTAATGAAGACGGGCATACGCCATACAGTGTGCTATGAGGGAAATTTTGCCCGGGCAGTGGCACGGTCGCCTACTCCCATATATCGAATTCCAACTGCCAAGGGATCTTTTACGTGCATTCTAATGTATACACGGGACCTCGGTTTTTTGTCTCATCCGAAGGACTAGACAGCTGTCCTTGTCAGGCCCTCCGTTCTGCGTCACTGACAAGGGGGAAACCACATCGGAAAATCCAGATGAACTTTCTCGGCCAATGCAGGGATCGAAGGCTCTTTTGAAGTGATCCAGGATTTTCTAAGAACCAGAATATTTTTTTCTTGTATGGCCTAAGATACACGAGAATTGATTAGACAACAAAACTAGATATGATAATGAAAAGGGATTTATAACCAGTGGACTTGGCATACTATCAAAGTACAAGACAGGCCTAGATGATATTAAAGATGGGAGTGTAGAGTTCTATACAGTTTAAATCTACTTACCATGTCCACCCATCAGTCTATGAAAAACCTCTTTAACAACAATAGGATTTAATTTGATGAGTTTCGGTAGAGCACCTGTTACTTCTTTCTATTAAAAATAATAAAAAATATGCATTTAGATTATTTAACGACAACAATATGGGTATTTTTAGACAATGATATTAGACAAGATAGAAATAATATAGAATAGCATGTGTTAGGTCAAACAAATTGAACTTTTGATGAGAGCAACCAAATACTTCTGTTTTTTTATGTAAGCAAGATTTTTAATGTGTTTCCGAAGAACAAAACTTCAAATTGGTGTTTGGACATTTTTGAAAAATCTGAATGTATAGCATTCGGCATAAGTAAAACCATCTCTATATTGGTTTCACACGAGCCAACTTATCTCAAACACTGCCTTTAACTGAATATAAGCATGCTGGAAAATATCAAAATACACATCAAAAATATATATTTACCTTAGTTAGACCAGTGAGTACAGGTATGAGGAATCGAACATCAGGTACACGTTTATGATATAAATCACGAATTCTTTCTACTAACTCTGGTGATGGAGCACCTTAAATTATATAACATATAGATATCAATTATTACATGTATAACATTTCATATGCATCAATGTCTTTAAAATGCAATGCAAACAATTTTTTTTAAACCCATCACCTAGAAGGGCCTGTTTTTAATCCAATTCAATCCAAGACAGGATGATTAATAGTTTGGTTTTTCTTTTATTGATTAAATCTTAAATAATCAATTTTTTGGGTATATTTTAACATGGACTTAGCCTTGAAAAATTAGATATTGTCTTAAAAATGCAAATGTCGATCAGCAGTTTTTAGACTTTCGTGATCATGCATCCAGTATTATATTACCACTGTAACTGGAAATTTTGGTATAAAGTGCATCAAAGTATATCATATCAGAAACGTAATGGAGGGAGGAATTTAGCAAGAAAGTAAAGACATGAATTTGTGTATTCATAATTTAAATTTATAGAAATAAAAACAGCTAAGTCAAATATTTATATCAATCAGGTAAAAAAGCAGGAACAGATTGAATGGTTTCTATAGTTAATAACTTACATTTATCAGTAAGAATATGTATAACTCTCATAACTAGAGTTTCAGCACCTTTAGGACAGTTTTCTACCATTGTTAATAACTCTGGTGATTCCATTCCCATACCTTTTACCTATAATACATGTGTAATATCCTTTCAAATAATAGTACAGGCACTTTATCAATTGTACATTATTCATAGTTTATCAATTGTACATTATTTATAGTATGTGACAATTACATGATGATTTCATAGAAATACACATATGTGATAGTGTATAATTAAGTGAGACATTGCCAAATATATTGATACAACACATGGGCTAATTTTACTGAATATCATTTAGGGAAGTAACACTGACAAGATGAATATCCATATATATGCTTATAGCTATCAAAATTTAGCGCACTTCATATAACATTCATGATCTTTGACTAAGTTCAATGAACAGACTGATTTAATGTTCCATGAACAGAAACAACAATATATAAAGATTTATATGTGAGAACTTACAGGAATTTCTAACATACGTAATATAGCTCTCTTTACATCAGCTGATGTGGCTGTATAAACATTAGATAACCTGCAATATCAAAATAAATTACTAGATATTTTAGAACTAACACAGGGATACTTTTTACATAACCTATCTACATTTAGCCCTAAAAAATGCTTGAAAATACGGGTTCAAATAGTTAAAGATGACTTACTCGTGTATAAGTTTATGGTAAAAGGTGACCCATTCGTGTACAAGTTTATGGTAAAATGTGACCCAATAGTGTGTAAGTTTATGGTAAAAGGTGACCCATTCGCGTACAAGTTTATGGTAAAATGTGACCCAATCGTGTATAACTTTATGGTAAAGGTGACCCAATCATGTATACATTTATGGTAAACGTGTATAAGTCTATGGCAAAAACTGACTAAATCGTATATATGTTCGTGAGTGAAGGTGACTTAATCATGTTAAATTTATGGAAGATAGCCACACAAATCGTGGAAATATGCCTATACAGCAGCTATGTCTCGGCAGCAGCGTATAAAAAAGAAGTAAACTTACTCGTGTATAAGTTTATGGTTCATTGGCAACAATCCTAGATATAAGTATAGATGCATCTTTATAAAATCTTCAGTCCAGTTAACTTGAACATCTAAAATATTATAATATAAAAATTTTATATGAAACATAAGAATGTCTAATCTCAAGGAATATTCTCTTATTTAGTTTCCGATCTCAATGCAGTTATGTTGTGGATTATGAGGTCATGAAATCATGATATTATCTATATTGAAGAACAGGGGAGTTCAGTCAGACTTTTTTGTAATCAAGAAAAGTGAATGTGAAATAAAAAATGAAATGAAATGAAATGGGGTTTAACATCCTACTGTTCTGCTCCAACTGGGCTAATGAAGACGGGCATATGCCATGCAATGTGCTATGAGGGAAATTTTGCCCGTGCAGCAGGAGCTGGGCCTACTCTTATATCGAATTTCAACTGCCAAGGGACGTGAAATAAAAGGCCAAAACCAAATAAGAAAGATTCTTTCCGAAACCCCACCAATGGGACAAGTTTATAACAATAGCTCAAAAAGAACAAACTTAGTACATATCATAAGTATAAGTAAACATTCATCTTGTATCTACCTTTAACACGGCCATCAGCACCAACTTCAGCTTTAGGTAAAAGCAATTTCTGTAAATTACCTAAAGCATATCTCTGAAAAATGTATTATATAAACAACTCATTACAAAATAAAAAAGTAATTACTACATATATATTTAGTGTTGCATATATCATCAGTGATGCTATTTGTCATACTAATACACACAAGCATCATGGCCGGAACACTTACTTGCAGGTTTCAGAAATAGAAACACTCATAACAAGGATTAGTTTGGTGTGTTAATTTTTGACCATGAAAGTGAAAGTAACTATATGTATATGTGGGATAAATAAAAAAAGTGTGATCCAAAAGGCTAATTTTGGCATATTTTGACAAGTCAAAGGTGATGAATCATAGCTATGTTTCATTGCCTGGCTTCCTATCTTTCACTAAAGGTAAGCTGGACAGAATAATCATAAATAACCATTCTCCACACAAGTCTCACTATCTAGCATTTGACTCTGCCATCGGCTAGCGCACTACACCGGTTGACAATAGCATTAGTTAGAAAAGTTCCAGAGTTATAAATTCTTAATGGGTTTTAGTCAATTTTAGGGGAAAATGTCATCAATTATGACCCCATTGCTATTTTATTATAGTAATAAAAATACATATATTATCATTTATTTAGTTTCCATTGTACTGTTTATCGTCTGTCGATACTAAGAATCTTGGTGGCGTAGTCAAATGAGCCGTTAGTGTGAACTGCAAGGGAAGACAACTCTGTTTAGGAGATTGATACATAACTTCACAAGTTTACTAACTAACAGAAAAGTTGGTGGGAAAGGAGAGTGTATAGATGAAGGAGAGTTAATTAACTTACCTCTATTGCTTCTTGTAGTTTAAGTTTACCCAATAAAGACTTGGTTATAGTTATAGCATTATTCCTCACCTAATAATATACCATTTTATAAACATAAATTTAATTCAATAAAACATGTCATTTAATTAATATCTTTTAATCATAGACACATAATTATTGATCATCCGTTTAAATCTCCACCATCTGATAGTGTAGAGAGTTGATTATAGGCTTATCATGTGAATAGATAACTAAATAATAACTGATACACATTTGAAACCAAAATAAAGACTTAGCTCTTACATCTTTGATGGAATGCAATTAGGTCTACTGTATTTAATACGAACAACATTTTAACAATGTTTCTCTCATCAATATCAAGCACATCATATAATTATCAATTCTGTATGGTAATATATCAATACAAATATAAACAAACCTCCACATTTTCATTGCCAGTAAATTCCAGGAGAACATCGAGAAAATGTAATCTATGATTTGGTCTCATTAATATTAACTTCTTTAATGTCTCCATTCCACTTTCTAGATGATTCTATTATAAATATAAAATAAAACATGTACATGTGTGCTTCTCCAAACTTTAGACTTTTACTTGTCTTCTCTAACTCCTCTTTTGTCTTAATCCAATCATGTTGCCAACCATCTTGCTAAAGCAGTAACAGCAATGTTTTGCTAAGATATACCCACTTCCACTCAGAAATGAAATGAAATCAAATGGGGTTTAACATCCTACTTTTCTGTTCCGACTGGACTAATGAAGACAGCTTCCACTCAAAGGACACTTCTCTATTTATAGAACATCTACATCTTTTTCAAAGTGTTGTGACCATCAGAAAAAAACATAAGATTAATATTTTAACAACAGTTTATATATTTATTTTAATGTGATCGGTCAGTCCTTATTAATCAATAATGGTTAAATATCTTACCTCATTAGAACAATATCGTCTCAACATTTCTACAGCATTATCTGTTACAACAGGTGCTTCTAATATAAGTCGACTAAACAACCTTAAAATATAAAATATGTCCTATTATACAGACAAACCATGGTTAATATAGTCAATATTATACTCACATAGTCTGGTTACCATATACAGAGATTCTCACTATTTTCTTGCAATTCTAAATGTTAACCAGAATCTAGTTAGAAGGTTTGAATCATTCACAGTTTAAAAATGAACTGAAATAGGATTTAACATCCATCTGTTCTGCACCAACTGGGCTAATGAAGGCGGGCATACTCCATAAAGTATGCTATGAGGGAAATTTTTCTCGGACAGCGACACCACAGCCTATTCTTATAACGAATTCCAACTGTCAAGGAGTCTTTCATTTGCACGCCAATGTGTACACAGGACCGCTGTTTCCCACCTATCCGAACGACTAGACACTGTCCTTGTCAGGTCCTCTGTCCTGCACCACTGACAAGGGGGAACCATGTCGGAAAAACATGAGGATCTTTATCAGCCAACACTGGTAGCAAACCTGAGACCTCCTATGTTGGATTTTAAATAATTGATATTTAAGGCAACACAAATAAAATAAGTTGTTTCTCGGGCACCGCCCGCACGCAAAATTGGTTGCGCGTGCGGCCTATTTATTAGTCTTGATGAAAAATAAAAAATATGTAACGCCCGCCCGAACATCGATAAGCAAGTCATAAAAAAAATATGCCGCATGTATCTACATGCCCCATACGTGAATATCCATTCAAATGTATTAAACTGATTCAGATGTAAACGCTCATTTACGGGTCTTTTTTTATTGATATCGAAAGAACCTCCATTTTTGTATCACATGATTTTAATTACCTCCCCTTGTGAACTAGAATTTGATTCGTGTTAAACATCGAAAGTCATTGACAACAATGCAATGTATTTCAATCATTCGATCTTAATCGGCTCATTATTGCCGGCTTCAGTCGGTCCATGTTTGAAAAAATCCTACTTATAAAACAATGAATCGTAGAACAGGTTAATTATTATAACTTGTGGCTACGAATACGATACGATGATAGTCACCATACCTTAGTCAGAATCTGGGTCATTAGCACATTTAACGGTAGTTTTGATAATCCGGAAAATAATAATTGGATTACACATTTGATGGTTTTACTGACGAGTTGTTAGTTAAATTTAAATAGTCATTCGATATAAATCCTGAGAAACACACCGAATAACCTGAGAAACAGTCATATCCCGATGACACGTGACATTGGTTGGAATTAGGTCAATCATTATAAACCAGCGATACTAGATTTAGATCGCAGTGTGGTTTACCGTGATGATTATTTTTGATACACATGCTGACAGAGGTTTACTCTTTAAAATATTGTCGTTATTATGGACGGCTATTAATAGTCGTACGGAATTTTATTTTAGCCAATTTCAATTATGATTGTCACCATTACCATTAGTAAGCTACATTACGTGAATTAAATATGGAAAATTATTTTCCTTTCAGTCAGTGTTCAGTGTTTGAGTAGACTTGATTTTTGGGTTTATGTTCTAAGTATGTATAATATATAATTGAAAGCAAAACCGTAGACAAGTAATGACTTTCTCATTAAAAAAAAAAAAAAAAAAATACAAGGCCGCCCTCCCGCCCAAACAATTTTCAACAATAGGCAAATTTTATTTTGCACCATCCTCTAGCCATAAATGAGATAAAAAAAAAAATAAACCGCCCTCCCCCCCTACAGTTTCAGCTGTCAGTTGCCCGAGAAACAAGACATTTATTTTGTGTAGCCTAACAAATAATAAAATATTTTCAAATGCACAAAAATACGTACCCATCTTTCTGGTCGGGTCTCTCTAATAACATCTTTAACAGTCGAGTGAGACATTCATCATAACTAGCAAGACTTTGTTTATCTTTCTGAGGATTAGCCACACTAAAACCCTGACAATTAGCATATTCCTGATATAACCAAGCAAATGCTATATCAGATCGATTCTTTAAATCATCAAATATAAAATTCTGTAACACTGTCAAATAAAAATATATCAATTCATATTAAAAAAGAATTTCTGTTTAAAAATGGTATTAGGTTAATTTACTGTATCAAACAGGCTAATGAAGATAGGCATACGCCATGCAATGTGCTAGGATGGACATTTTTCCCTAATAGCATTACTAATGACCCACTCTTATTTTGAATTCCAACCGTCAGTAGATTTATTCTGTGTTGTCAATGGTATACAGGGCACTTAAGAGTTTTTGTGTTTTTTTCTCCAAGCCAAATGATTAGATGTATTTCCTTGCCAGGACTTCTGTTGGGCACCACTGACAAGAGAGAACCAGATTGTAAAACCCTGAGGAATTTTGTGAGCCAACATCAGTATTAATTTGGGACCTGAGGGTTAGCACAATACAACTATATTGACCTATCTACCGTAGCTACCAGATTACAGGTAAATGTTGTGATATATTTTAAGCCATATATGGAGAAAATGTTGTTAAATGAGATAGGTTTTCTTATGTTTTAATGATTTTTTCAAAAATGTTATTTAACTTACTTTCTTTGAGACCACCACCAAACTGAGCTGTTAAAGTAGCTAATATCTTTACTCTGACTGAACCCAAGTTATTATTATGTGCTATCTCTGTAATAGAAAAACAATAATTCATTTAATAACGTTAAGTTGTAATTAGTAATTCATCAAGTCCGGCCATTCTCTCCAGCATACATTGGCATGCCATAGATCTTACAACAGAATTTTTAAATGCATAAATTATATGCATACAAAACCTGAACTGCAGCATGCTACCAAGGCATATGAATCTGCTGGGGCATCCTCAGAAATATAAGCTGACTCATAAACCCTTCACCATTGGCACAATTACTTCAGTAAAGAAGGCTGCACAAGGAAACGTAACAAAAAAGAGTCAATCCCTATAAACAATTTTTTATAAGAATGTTAAAATATCTTACTCTCTGCATTCAGAACTCTCTTCATCGTAGAAACTGTCATGGCGTCTAACTCTTCTTTTTCTAGGGGACTGGTTATGTTGGATAATTTGAACTGCCTTAGTTTTTGAGGGACTGCCTGATAAAACACAATCATAAAGTAATCAATAAGACATTTTTATAGTATCTGATTATCGGTTGAAAGAATTTTAATTTCTTACAAACTACAATATTGTGAATGTTGAATCTCTACTAGGAATATCAGTAGGGTGCTCCACGCAGTCAAATGAAATGAAATGAAATGGAGTTTAACGTCCTACTGTTTTGCTCCGAACTGGGCTAATGAAGACGGGCATACGCCTTACAATGTGTTTATTTAAGGACTATAAATGTGAGAAACTAAGTTAAGGCTTGTTATAAAAATAAATATTGTGGTATATTTGTCAAAATATTTGGAGATATTTATTTATGGTGGTGCACCCTAATATCAGTACAAGAATGGTTTAAATCTCTTTAGTATTTATAAAGATACGATGAATTTAACAATTGTAAACACAAGTGCCACATACAATTTTCGCTGAAATCTTTGAATGTGCCATTTTTAAATCTGACTGCAAAATCAATTTGGCAGACTTATTACATGATACCGATTTGTAAAAACAATTATCTGCTGCTATATTTTACAAACATGTTTTAACATTGTATAAACTTACTGGTAAAGTTGGTGGTATAAATGTAGATGTTGTTGGTTTATCATAAAAACTGTCTAATTTTGTTGTACCTCCTGAAAATATTACATGCAAAACAATCAATGTATTGGATGTACAATATGTTAAATTAAAGACTCCCACAGACCAGAACAATGAAACAAATAGAATAATATGCCATACAGTGGGATATGAGGAGAATTTTGCCCTAGCTGTACTCTTCTTTGACTTGCAAAGAGTTCTTTTACATGCACGCCAGTGTGTACATGGGACCTTAGTTTTACATCCCATCTGAACAACTATTCCTTGTCAGGCCACGGGGAAACCAGACTGGAAAATCCTGAACAACTGCTCGACCAACTCAAAGTTTTGGTAAAGGGCTTTTACTGTAGATAAGGATTGTGATCCAACTTTTTGTGAAAATTTGCCAAGAACTTCTCTCTTTAGGGTAAATACAATATATCTATATCTATGTATGTGTGTATGTGTGTATGTGTGTATGTATGTTCACCAATGAAGCTTCGTCGCCGCATTCCACCCCAACATATGTGGTATCAAATTAACCAGCATATTTTAGGCCATCATATTTGGGCTCCAGGCAAATTTGCTCCCGGGTGAATTTGGGTACCGGAAGAATTTGCGCCCTGGGTGAATTGGTCCCCAGGTGAATTTTGGCCCCTGACAAATTTGGGCAATGTGCAAATTTGGGCCCTGGACGAAGCCAGGTATCCTGCTAGTATTTAATATCAATAAATTAGCCAGCATAAGCAAGGCTTAATAACTCTTGATTAACCTTTGTGATAAACTTACCAACAAGAGTTTGAATAAGTTGTTTTGGTGAGGGTAAACTGACATCTATCATGGGAGTAGTACTTCCATCATCTACAACACCCTCTTCCAAAAACTAGAAAACACAAACAAATAGTATACCAAGTTGAAATTCACATCTTATTTTGATAATCTGAATCAAGATATCGTAAGTTGTGGAAAATTGGAAGCAAATTTTGTAGTTTCAATTGAATTTAATTTCCTGAAAATTTGGGTGATATCAACATATTTTTAACATAGTTATATACATGAAGAAATTCTTAGACCAAACCAATTTAATTTCTAGTCCTTTGAGGTCTAGATAAATAAATTGCCACTCGAAACTCTTGAATAAGGTTTTGTTTAAACTTTTAATACTTGAACTAAAATGTTTGAGAAGAGCAACCACATATTTTTTGTTTTTTCCTCAAGAAATGAAATAAAATGAAATGGGGTTGAACGTCCTACTGTTCTGCTCCGACTGGGCTAATGAAGACCGGCGTATGCCACACATTGTGCTATTAGGGAAATTTTGCCTGGACAGCAGCGCTGTTTTCATATTAAATTCCAACTGCCAAGGGATCTTTTACATGCATTCCAATGTGTATACAGGACTATACATTGTCAGACACCGTCCTGCACCATTGACAAGAAGGAACCATGCCAGAAAATCCTGATGAACTTTCTCATCCAACGAAGGGATTGAACATGGGACCTTTAGGTTATCGAACCAACGTCTTACTCACTGAGCCACCATGCCTCCTTTTCCTCAAGAAACAGGAAGCAAATTTCCCAGAGAACTAGAATTCAATTTGGTGTGGCTTTATCAACAAGAAACTGGCATAATGATTCTTGATACATCCAGTCTTACCTTTCTCTGTAATTCACCAAGGCCTTTACCGAATCCTGCCATAGTTAACTGTGTGGCAAGTAGTCGAGCTAAATGAGCTATTTGAGCGTCGGTACCAGCAGCTGCTATAGGTGTATAAGTTGACTCAAACTGAGCTGGCATTGTATCTGGTAACATCACCTGTAATAAATAGGTCATAATATAGAAAAAAATAAATGAAATGAGGTTTAACGTCCTTTTCTGCACTGACAGGGCTAAAGAAGACAGGTATACGCCATACAGTGTGTTGTGAGGGAAATTTTGCCTGGACAGGTTATAATATACAAGAATCCAATTTATCTCAATATTGTGAAATGGGGAATCATTAAAAAAAAATAGTTACCACCTGCATCAAATTACAAATGTCAAGGATTCTTTTACGTGCACCTCAATGAGTACACAGGTGGACATTGGTTATATTCGTACTATTCCAACCATGTCCCAAATTCTGCATCATCTAGAATATAATACAATACTTACCATGCTGAGTAAAACTAAGTCAGCTACATTTTGTGAGTTTAGTTTGGGTAAAATATCTTCAGCTGTAATATCTATAGCCGTCTGTCTCTGTGATACGGATGTCGGTCGTTTCTCACCTTGAGGTACAAATGGTGTCATACCCACATCATCATCATCTAAATCAATCTAAATAAACAAAAACAGATACCATGAAACACTGGGTTATTTATGCTTTCAATCTTGGACATTTGAACAGTAACACATATTTCAGGAAAGGATTTAGGCTAATGAAGAAATATTGGATTTAGAAGTATATCAATATACATAAACACCAAGACTCGCTCATCAACATCCTGTTCCCTTGTATGACACAAACACAAAAATAATTAGCAAAGACTACTATGATAGATTGATGTATGTAGAAAGTTTTATAATATCTTCAACGATTTATGAGACAGAAGGGGATAATAGGTTAAACATTAAAGTCATTGATCAAATACAAAAAAAATCACGCAGAAACAAGTGTGCATCTTACCTCAATTTTAGCTTTTTTACTTGAGGATGAAGATTGTTCTAATTTCCTTTTTCTACTTTCATCCATTTTAGGCATATTTCTGTTAATCTGAAAACAAATTCATAATCATTTTAACAATGCAATATATTACTTATTACCAGAAGAAAATTAAACCCTCACAGAAATCTTTTCACATCCCATGTCCCTCTTAAGACCTATCTTTAAGAAAATAAAAGAAAATGAAATCAACTGAAACAGGGGATTAACATCCAAGCTTTCTGAAGATGTACAGTAAGACGCCATACAGCAGGCCATTAGAGGAATGGTGTCCAGACAGCAGTGATTCTGCCTACCCTTTATCGAATTCTAACTGCCAAGGGTTCTTTTACGTGCACACCACATAGATCTAGCTTCTTGTCCCATCTGTTCATCACCACTGACAAGGGAAAACCTGGCTGGATAGTCCTGATAAACTTTCGCAGTCAACACCTGGACAGAACCTAGGATCTCTTGGTTAATGCGAAAGTGTCATATTCAATGAGTCACTGCCATATTCATCCTCAGTATCCCCAGTGGTCTCAATCCATTCCACTTAACTAACCCCTGTGTTCATCAATGGGGGAGACACATTCAAATTATCTGCCCTTGATGATTATGCTATTTTTATCTACCAATCAAATAATCGTTAAATACATAAAAACAGACATAAAAACATCTTTCCCATCAAAAAGATGTTTTAGAACCTCTTTTTATGTGCATGTCAGTTCTTTCATATTAAATTTCTTGTAAACTTTCTCATAATCGAGCGAATAAGCCGCCATAGTGTTGTGAACGAACAAACAATGAGGCGAAGACTGGTTTGTAAACTGTTTTTTGATTGGTTCGTTGAGTCAAGCTACGATCAAGGGCAGATAATTTGAATATGTGAATACCCCATGGATGAACTCAGGGTATAGTGGAGTAGAACGGAATGGGACCACTGAGGATATTAAAGATGTGTTGCTCTCTTTATGTATAGTTATGTTTCACTTACCTCTGACTGACTAGCTCCTAAATCTGTAAGTAGTGTAGTAATCTGTGTCAGGTGATCTACGGAAGCAGGATGTTTTAATAACGCTAACATCTGCATCTTGAGATTTTTACGAACACTGTTTACTTGTGATTTAGCCAAGGTCGGGGGTAAATTTACTAAAAAGATAAACATTGATATTACTCAGATGGTGGTCTTTACAGAAATAAGATGAAATGCGTTGACAGGCAACACCCACCCACATCCTTTGAGCAGTCCACAAATTTTTGTCTCATTTTTGTTCTTTTGAAGGTAATGAGAGCATTTAAAAGAAGTTAAAATAAATAACTAAAGAATGATAGACTTCTAGTTCTTCCTGATGCTAACATTTATTATACAAAACATGTACCAATCCATAGGTGTTTAGAGTTATCAAAAATAGTTGAAAATCAATATATTTCTGTCTAATAAACATTTATTATTAATACTGTACATAAATCAAATAATGACTTAAGTCTCCGGACCATCCATAAGTATTCAAAGATCATAACTCCAACAGGGATTAATCATGTATTCTTACTGTGAAATTTGTCAGGAAGCCTGGAACAATATGATAAAACTTCCAACAAATGAAAATTTTGACCATCTGTGTTCACAATGAAAGATTGGTCATGAACTGTGCAATATCAGATTAGATATCTAGTTATTAAAACTATCTTACCATGTAGAGCTTCTAACCCTTGTACAACTTGATCTAGAAATATTGGTCTCTGTTTGGCTATATTGGTTAACGCCCCCATTACTGTCATTAAATTTATACTGAAATAGAAACCAACCCAACCCATCATTTTATCATTTGAAAAGTTATAAAAGGGAATGCTTAATCTAAAATTCTGAAATAGGGGCATTCACTTCAAAACTTGCTGGACGGTCAATTGCTTTCAAAGAATATGACAGTTTGTAGCATTATCCCAATTTTTATACAAAAACCTATAAACCTGACTGTATGTATTGTGTTATATGGTTACATTCTTTAGATATTTAATTTTACAGCATTTAACTTGACATCCTTGGTATTCCTAGTGGTCTCATTCCATTCCACTCACTAACCCCTGGGATCATCCATGGGGGAAACATGTATTCAAATTATCTGTCCTTGATGAGTATGCTATTTTTATCGATTAATCAAACCAGCGGCTGCCAGGCAGGATACGCCCACATTTTCGAGAGATGGATAGAAAACAAGATAAAACGAAAGTGATTTTTTCCTACAATCAAGGGCCATAATTCAGGAAATTACAATTCGATATGCGCAAATATCGAAAGGAACCAAGATCTTTGAGTTATAAACTTACAATTCAAGTTTCAACAAAATCGGATAAAAATTGTGACCTCTATAGGGTCCACAACCTTGATATACCATATTTTTATGCAATTTGAGAACAAGGGGCGGCCATTTTGTCTGTCAGTTTTGGGCCGATTTTCACGAAATTCGAACTCAGTCGTCCTTAGGGTGTAACGGTGATATAATAATACGTTTTTTTAAATCGGATAAAAATTATGACCTCTATAGGGTCCACAAGCTAAAAACGTGATTTTTCGTGCATTCAGGGGCCATAATTCAGTAAGTTACGGTCTGATATGCGCGAATATCGAAAGGAACCAAGATCTTTGGGTTATAAACTTACATTTCAAGTTTCAACAAAATCGGATAAAAATTGTGACCTCTATAGGGTCCACAACCTTGATATACCATATTTTTACGCTATTTGAGAACGAAGGGCGGCCATTTTATCTGTCAGTTTTTGGTCGATTTTCACGAAATTCGAACTCAACCGTCCTTAGGGTTAAACGGTGATATAATAATACGATTTTTTAAATAGGATAAAAATTATGACCTCTATAGGGTCCACAAGCCAAAAAACACTTTTTTACGTACAATCAGGGGCCATAATTCAGGAAGTTACCATCCGATGTGCGCGAATATCGAAAGGAACCGAGATCTTTGGGTTATAAACTTACATTTCAAGTTTCGACAAAATCAGATAAAAATTGTGACCTCTACAGTGTTCACAAGCCAAAAACGTGATTTTTCGTACAATCAGGGGCCATAATCCATGAAGTTACGGTCCGATAGATGCCAATATCGAAAGGAACCGAGATCTTAGGGTGATAAACCTATATTTCAAGTTTCATTGAAATCGGATAAAAATTGTGACCTGTAGACTGTTCACAAACAATTGTGGACGGACGGACGGGGGCGACGACAATATACGTCCACATGAAAATGTGGGCGTATAAAAATCATTAAATACACAGGAGTTGACAAAGCGAAGTATCTCTTATGTTGTTGCAACAAACAAGCCACCATATTGTTGCGAACGTAAGTAATGAGACTAAGACTCTTTTGTAAACTGTTTTTTGATTGGTTCGTAGTATTAAGCTATGATCATGGGAACCCAGGGTATAGTAGAATAGAACAGAATGAGGAGGGTAACTTGACTGTGAGTTAAGATCTCCAGCTGGTCAATTTCACTTCCAGAAATAATTGCCATTGAGTGACACAGAAACTAATTCAGACTTAGTTTGTTTGAAAACAAATCTTGCGTGAATAGATCATGACGTAATTAAACGTAATTCAACTTTGATCATAGCTGTAATTGCAGAATTGAGAGAATTCTAATTAACTTAACCCTTTATCTCATGAAGCAACTGAGGTTCTACACCTCAGAACCTCATGTGTCACCTTAAGCTGTAAACTATTTAAAAACTCAATGTAAAAAAAGACCACTTTTCAGGGAACTGAGGGAGTCAATAATTACAGGTGACCGGTGCTCCGGGTTAATTTAGTACCCTATCAAACATTATTACCTAGATATGTGAGGAGATGCTTGGAATTGCAATAACATAACAAATGTATTCTGTCCATCTTCATCAAGTTTCTTGATCTTTAGATATTTATTACCATCTTGAATCTGATCAAGAGTTATGTCCTCTTCTTGGTTTTTCGGTATCAAGGAATCCTTAAAAAACACATTTGAAGAATCTAAATGCAAAACTGAGTAATTTTAGTAAGGAGATAAAAGTTCATTTTGAGTAAAAGGTACTTAATATTTGGAATATACCATGCTTCAATAAGTTCTAAATTTAGACACGGTGAGTAGAGTGTAGATAGGTGAACCTTTGACTAGCCAATATTGTACTTGCACAGGGCTTGAACAATCCTAGGATTCTTCACAGGCCATGGGAGAAGTCAAACTGGCTCGGACCCCTGAAATACTAAAGAACTTACTGTAGATCTTTTAGATAACACTAAAACAACACCTTCAAGAAACTTGACAACATGGGTACGTATACTGAAATGAAAATTAATATATGTAAAAAATAAATCGATACCATCAATGATAAAAATATAAAATTACCTGGAGAATTGCTTGCAGTAAGTTCACACAGATTTCTATTCATCTCGACATTCAGATTGACCACAAACAAAATGGGTTAATGAAGACACTGTCCTTGCCAGACCCTCTGCCTTGCACCACTGACAAGGGGGAAACCACACCCGAAGAGTAGAAAAGAAATTGGTCATGTTGTTTTATAGGTCTTTTATAATAACTGACATTTCATTGTATGTACTATTCATACATATACTCTATGTTTCATTGGGCAGTTTTACATGGTCAGATTAACTGACATTTAGATTGAGACAATATAAAAATACATATGTATCTATCTCACCCATCATTATTCGACTCTAACAGTTCAAACACTTGTTGTTTAATTTTATGTATGTTATCCCATACTGCCGTCATCTCTGGTGTAGTTGTCTTAGCTTTGCTTAACCACTGAAAATTAAATTGGATTAAATTAATATTTTCTGATGAATTGAAACAAATTTAAATTAAAACAAAGACATACCATTAAAATAATGTTTTGCAATAAATTAAGATGCTGGTCTTAAAAATGGTTAAAAAAAAGAGAGAAGTCTACCTAATCTAAGTCATTTCAGGTGGAGACTTTAAAAGTGGAGGGAAACTGATGTAGACAACTTAGTCTTTGACACGTACATGTACAAGCCTGGGATCAAACCCTCGACTTGCATGTACATGTGTACATTAGACAACTTGACCTTAGAGATACTATCAAAGCTTGTAAAGTCAAGTAAGGATGTCAGAGATGTAAGCATTTTATTTTTACTTAACTAAATACTATACCTAACACATGACACAATTATATGGAATACAAGTTACTTATTCAGTCAGCAGACAGCTCTCTTCGAGACAGTTTGCACTTTCTCTATTTGCTTCTTTTTATTCAGTTCGTTTTTTCCTCTGTTTTTGTTGATAAATGGAACATATGCCCTAACTTTATAGTCAATATACCTCAATAGTTTTGAACACTTAAAACGTTTCTCACTATAACATAGACCATACCGATATGGTTACTTGTATAGGTAACTTTTTAATTTAATATGCTTACTTTCATATTTTATGTGGCATATAGCAGATTATGACTCGTACTAGTATTACACAAAGTCTTTCTCTGGGTTATATTCCTGATGGTTTGTCTTTCAATTTTGAGGCCCGGGACTGTACAACGCAGTGGATGCTTACGACTAGCACTTGGATCCTTTCACTTAATCTGATTTGTATATTTGTTTGTGATTTCTGCGTATTGTGTCTTGTCCATAGATTTGTTTTGTGTTATTATAGGTGGTGCAGTCCCCCTGCACTTACTATTAGAAGTTTATTTGTGTTGAGGTTTCAACGACGGTTCTCATGTCTTTATAAATAATACTGTACCTGTATAATATATTTAAAGACATTAGTCAATGTTAATATAACCTTCTTCTTTACATTAACATTATCATCAGCTAATAATATACCAAAACATGGTAAAACTTTAGATAATACTTCTTTATCTTTTTTACTGAAATAAAATAAAAGTAAGAGAATAATCTATTCTGTACAATAAATATTGCATTACTGGTCATCAATAATGCTTGTTTAACCAGAGATATCATGAGAGAGAGAGAGAGAGAGAGAGAGAGGGAGAGAGAGAGAGAGAGAGAGGTTTAACCTCCACTGACACAAACTAGATCATTTTGGGATTAACATATGGTCAATTTTATTTCAATTATTCACTTGTGCGTAGGGGTCTTTAGCTGTGGGAGGAACCAGAGGTTACAGAGAAAACCTACAAGGTTGGATTTCAACATCTTATTTATTCGGCTCACCTAAACGTCTATATATATTCATCCTATTCTCTTTCTTTATGGTAGATACATGTAGAGTTACAGTTCTACATTTTTGATGTTGAATAACAACATTAATAATGCTTAAATGTCGACCTTTAGCTTGACAATATCTAAATTTCTATGTTTTAAAACATTTTGAACAAAAATCCCCTTAGTCAAATGCGTTTATTCCCATTACTAAATAACAATCATAGGCCTCCAGGCACTATCTTTTGCGAGCTGGACTTTGGACGGGTTTTAAAACAAGATTTGTCCACTCACCAGGCTTCTTCGAAAAATCCTGTAACAAATTTCTTAACATCTACAGAACGATCACTAATAAAAGCTATCATTTCCTAAAACAGTAAAAGACAAATAACATAAATAGTTATACACGGAAAGAGAAGAATTAAATGTAGTTAATAAATGAGTTTTAAGTCAGATTTAAGTTTTAGGAGAATTTTTTAAACTTACATCAAGAAAATTATCAAGTAAAGTTGGATCTTTGTGAATTATAAGTTCTTGAACCTGAAAATAAAAACCAAGAAAATGAATAATATTGCACAAATAAAATGTTCCTCTATTTCTGTTCAATCTTATTGTTTATGTTAATCTTACTACAAGACATTACTTTATTGTTTTGTTTACCAGGTTTTTTTTTTATTAATATGGTATCAAATATCAGATCATTTTAGATCTGTCCACCAACAGCTATTATATCCTGTAACTCTAATTCTGCAGGTGTAATATGAACAAGCATGGAAATAAGGCACAAATTCAAACTTTGTCAAAGATGCGTACGTGATCAATTGCATTGGTGAAAATTTCAAAGTAATCAGATGGAAAAATGGCTTAATATAGACATAGAGCATACGGGATGTCAGAATATATTGTAACGAATAGTAAACGGATAGTAAAATGATTCGGATAACCCTTATTTTGTATCCGTTAACGAATATCCGAATAGTAGTTTCAACACTAATGTACAGTAGGTACTAGTTCAGTAGTACCTGAAATAGTTAAAATAATTATTTTCAGGCCTGAATACACTGTTAAACTGATACCATTGCCTTATGAATCTAGGTCTTTTACTAACATAAACTTTTTCATTACATCATACAAATGATCATTACTCTAAACTAATGTTTATTGTTCAGTATGTATAGAAAGTTGTTAGAAATTATACCAAAGTCATTAATTAACATCTAGCTGTTTGTATCTAGCTATAAACAATACCAATGCAAGTGTAAATGTGTGACTAATCATAACACCCATCACTACTGAATACACAAACCTAACCAATAGTCTCAGTTTTAATACCTACTTAATGACTACTGCATGATTACTAACAATTTTAACTGACTAATAAAATTTGTGTATATAAAATGATAACTTAGATCTGTTTGTGTCATATATTTTTATTTGTAAAGTTATTTGTTCATAAGTCAATAATATCAACTTTATAGTGATATGAGTGGTGGATAGGGTTGAGCGATAATAATAATAAAAAAAATACTGTGATAATAAATTATCAAATATCACAATAAACGATATTATCGTGATAATTTATACATGTGTCTTAAGAAATCAAATTTTGAATATGTGTGACGGTCTTAAGTGCATACATCTACTCAAATGCTAGTAAACAAAATGATGTCAAATTTTTGTTGCCCACGTCGGTAGATGCCACGATGGATATTTACCCCAGACCAGCTGGTATGTAATAATGCTATTTTTACAGATGAATTTAATTCTATCAATAGAATGTCATCCAAGTTAGTCAAATTAAAATATTAAGTTTTAATATAACGATAATATCTAACCAGAACTAGCAGGGTTTTATAGTCTACTTTTGGATATTTACAAACAAGTGTTCCTCGATTACGAGTCCTAGTGGGGTTACATTAAATTAAAATATTAAATTTTATAAGATCAACAAAATAAATTTATGTACATTGACCTAATGGATTTAAGTTTTGAGATATCATATTAATGATCAATCAACGCTCATTTATTTTATGTTGTCCACCAAACACGATATACCATCCATCCATTCACATTGCATCAATCGTGCCCTCTCGCATTGCCATTTCAACTTTTCGAGTTCGTACCGTGCACTATAGCTGCACTTGTCTTGGTAAGGTGACGAAACAGCATAAGTATTATCATCAATATTGGGACAAAATAATTATCATAACGCGATAATTTTTGTTGTCTTGATATACCGGTTTTTTTTTTACGTAAGTCTGATATGATAAAATCACTGAGGATTTTATCACGATATATCGAAAAACCAGCATATCCCCAACCCAATGGAGGATTTTTAATTTAGTCTTCAGTTTTCCATTACAAGACAAAACAATAAAAATACAAACCTGTCTTAAATTCCGTATTTTGTCTGAATCTCTCGGTAACAAAGATGCTTGATTCAATAAATCAACAACCTGTAAATCAAAAATACAATACATGAATGTATATTTAATATTTAACATATTAAGACTGAAAGGTTATCAAAATACTGTACTAAAACAGCAAACCTGCTACCTTGATTTGTCTCACTGAAATTAATGTCACAAACAGTGCAGATGTAGGCCTAACATTTCAAAAGAGAGAGAGAAATGGGGTTTAATGTCCACTCGACACAAACTAGGTCATTTCGGGACCAACATATATAGTTCAATAATTCGCTTGCGCGTAGGGGTCTGTAGCAGTGGAAAGAAACCAGAGGACCCGGAGAAAACCCACGAGGTTGGACAGGCGACCCTACTCCTTGTCACGTACAACTGGGGATTCGAAACGAATGCCAGTCAATACGTCCACAAGCAAAGTCTTCCACACGAAAAATCTGGTTAAGTCGTCCACACCCGTTGGTGGAGTCGTCCACAATCGTTGGTGGAGTCGTCCACACTCGTTGGTGGAGTCGTCCACACGACTTACGTGTAGTATAATTTCTGGATATAGTAATACGTTGGTGGAGTCGTCCACACGACTTTTGGGACACACAATGTATTTTTAATTAGTATAGTTTTTCTGCGTGGTCACCCTTTCTCCCGGCAAAACTATAATTTCTGGATATAGTAATACGTTGGTGGAGTCGTCCACACGACTTAGCATAATTTCTGGATATACTAATACGTTGGTGGAGTCGTCCACACGACTTAGTTTACTTTCGGGACACATAATGTATTTTTAATTCGTATAATTTTTCTGCGTGGTCACCCTTTTTCCCGGCAAATAAACAACAAAGTAAATCATTTTATTCAATAAATAACATATTCATAAACAAATTTAACAAATTCAATAAATAATCATTAATATAACAATTTCATTAATATAACAATTTCATTAATATAACAATTTCATTAATATAACAAGCCCCATGCACAAATGAATTCCTATACCGCTACCAAACGACCCACATCCTTTAAAAGCCCTGATACACTTTTTTCCCCCTGTTGATACAATTCCCATATTTTAAAGATTTTCCCTGCTACTGTCTCAAATTTCTTCCTTTGTCGCCTCTTTAATTTATTCTCCGAAACCAGTTGTTGTTGTAGTTCTGCCGTTTTAGATTCATCATGTAACAGTTTGATTAGAAGATAAAATTGAAGGTTATTTCTCGCGGCCTTGCCATCCCTCGACATCGATGCCATCCCTCGACGTCGTTGTTGGTTCTAATTGGTTTAAACTTCCGACAAAACGTGGCTATAATCATAACACCAAATAATAATCAATACTTTATTACAAAAACATCGATAATACTAATCAAACAAACAAAAATGCTAAAATCATAACGCCAATTAACAAACAATACAATAAACTTTATTACAAAAACATTGTTAAATACTAATCAAAAATGTTACAATCATAACGTCAATTAAAAGCGAATATACTTTATTAAAAAAACATCGTTAATACTAATCAATCAATCAAAAATGCTAAAACCATACCAGTAACGCCAATTAAAGATACATTATGGGAGATAAGATAACGAGATGGCAGTTCTCGCTATAATAGTTAAAAACTAGATAGTGTAAAGGTAATTTGCTGAAAATTTCAGTCAAATTGATCCACTATGAGTCGAGAAAGAAGCGGGTGAAATTTTGGCATAGTCTCGGTCATCATTACTAAAATCATTAATATAAACAGCTTAGTCTCGATCATCCGCTTTTTTTGATTTAATTATCAACGGCCGTTAGCGACATATAGGAATCTAATCCAGCCAACATCGAAGGCTAGCCTTGACATCGAGAGTTTATTATGGTCTGGATAAGTTAATTAATGTCTAATTGATAATTTAGATAACATTTCAGGCCTAAAGAAAGACTTGTAATAAGCAGATTTTGCTCTTGCATAATGCATGTTTAACAAACAATACAAAATACAAGTATACTTCATTGCAAAAACATTGGTGAACAACAAACGAACAAAACAAACAATAACATCGGCGTTTTGAGTACGAGTAAATTGTGTACAAGTCTTATTCTTAGTTGTGGATGACATCACCAATAGTTGAGTACGAGTAAATTGTGTACGAGTCTTATTCTTAGTTGTGGACGACATCACCAATAGTTGTGGACGACATCACCAATGCCTTGTGGACGACTCCACCAATGGGTGTGGACGACTTCACTGTGGACGACTTTGCTTGTGGACGACTTCACTGGCACCCTTCGAAACCACGCCAGTTGACTCAATGACAGGCCTTATGATACAACGCGCACATGCTAACCAATCGGCATGGGTGCTTTTGGTGTATAAGTTAATTCATCTACTAGTACCTGTACTAGATAAGGGGACAGGGCAACACAGAATTACATATTTTTGGGGTTGTGTCAAATCATCCCTTACAGAGCAGCATACCGGTACGTATAACGGCTTTTCTTTCATTGGAAAAATTAAAATAATAACGAGAGTGTTTAAAATAACTGTCATTTAGGTATACCTTGTCATATGTTGACACATTTGATTCCCGTTCAGCAGCTTCATCCTCTTCGTTGATGATCTGAGCAGCAGTTGATAACCGCAGCATATCACTCGCCATTTTTCACTTTTACAAGAAGATTTACTACTAAATCATCAAAAAGAATACGCGGTGGATTATCCACCTAATTAGTGTTGCGTAATATGTAATTTCCTTGCGTGAAAGCTTTAAATAGTACTGAATCTTTATAATCCTTTCTAAAATTGCTTTATTTTCCCACCATCTTGAAACACGCTGCCGTTAATCGGAACTACCGGTAAAGTAATGTCGCAATTTTATAATAAAAATATGCAGTAAACTTAAAGTAAGGGCTTTAGCTCGGCTTTAGCTCAGATTCTCAGTACTGTTAAAAATATTTGACAAATATCGAATTTAACTTAATTAATTATATTTGCGACACACGTGCCAAATGGGCGGGAAAAGATATCTTGTTGTTAATAATAAACTGAGTTTTCAGTGAGACCGTTTACGGTTCCAGATACAATCATTCCATAACTTAGTTAAGGCGTTTAGATGAGGTTCAGAAAAATATCTCCTCAAATTAAGTAAAGATTATGTTTATAAAATCGGATATAGAGACTGTTGTTGCGTGAAGGGCAAACAGTGACCATGACCTTAATTTCAATGTTGAGGAGGGGGGGAGGGAAACCGTTATCTTTATTAACCAGTCGTACACAACATTTATTTGTACAATTACCGAGTCGACCCTAAGTCCAAATCAAATAGTCAGTCGAATAAACCGGTCGATGGCTTATTAAAATTTTGGAATCGTTTGTGATCAGTATAAGTTAAAGAAAAAACGCACTAATTCCAATATCTTTTATCATTGTTTTTGTTTATTTTTTACGTCCCCTCATGTTCAAATTTGATTGTTCAAATTAAAACTTTAAGGTGTTATTGCCACCGCGGCTTAATAAAGTCATGCTTTACTTTTTCCCTCATCCCCATATGCCCCCATCTTTTAAGTGCACGCCAATGTGTACACGGGACCTCGGTTTTTCGTCCCATCCGAACGACTAGACATCTGTCCTTGTCCACCTCCAAAAGAATATAGAGTCCCTATATATGATATGTTGGGTTAGGGGGGCATATGGGGATAAGGTATTTGACATTATCATGTGGCCTCGTCCAGTCAATAAAATCAGTCAGTTAGTTCAGTCGATAACATCAGTAAGTTAGTTCATGCTCGTCCCATCCGAACGACTAGACAGCTGTCCTTGTCCGCCTCGAAAAGAATAGAGTCAATATATATGATATGAACGTAGAAAGGGGATGCGATGGGGCCGGGGTGTGTGTGAGGTATTTGACATTTTCATGTGGCCTCATCCAGTCGATAAAATCAGTCAGTTAGTTCAGTCGAATAATCCAGTCGAATAAACCAGTCGAATAATTCAGTCGAAAAGTTCAGTCGAATACTTCAGTCGAATAATTCAGTCGAATAAACGAGTCGCTCAATATTAAGTAGCGGTGGCAGCGGGCTAAGATAATTAGTAGCAAATCATGCTCGTAGCCATAGCTGAAGGAGCCGGGGGCATGGGGTAGGGACCTGGGGGCTTCCCGACTAGTTTCAAGAAATGAAACGAAATGAAATGGGGTTTTAACGTCCTACTGTTCTGCTTGGAACTGTGCTAATGAAGACGGGCATACGCCATACACTGTGGGATGAGTGAAATTTTGCCCGTACAGCGGCACTACGGCATACTCTTATATCGAATTCCATCTGTCAAGGGATCTTTTACGTCCACGCCAATGTATACACGGGACCTTGGTTTTTCGTCCCATCCGAAAGACTAGACAGCTGTCCTTGTCCGCCTCGAAAAGAATAGAATCCCTATATATGATATGAACGAAGAAAGGGGATGGGGTGCGGCGGGGGGGGGGGGGGGGTTGAGGTATTTGACATTTTCATGTGGCCACGTCCAGTCGATAAAATCAGCCAGTTAGTTCAGTCGAATAATCCAGTCGAATAAACCAGTCGAATAATTCAGTCGAGAAGTTCAGTCGAATACTTCAGTCGAATAATCCAGTCGAATAATTCAGTCGAATAAACAAGTCGCTCAATATTAAGCAGCGGTGGCAGCGGGCTAAGATAATTAGTAGCAAATCATGCTCGTAGCTATAGCTGAAGGAGCCGGGGGTATGGGGTAGGGACCTGGGGGCTTCCCAACTAGTTTCAAGAAATGAAAAGAAATGAAATGGGGTTTTAACGTCCTACTGTTCTGCTTGGAACTGGGCTAATGGAGACGGGCACACGCCATACACTGTGGGATGAGGGAAATTTTGCCCGGACAGCGGCACTACGACATACTCTTATATCGAATTCCATCTGTCAAGGGATCTTTTACGTCCACGCCAATGTATACACGGGACCTCGGTTTTTCGTCCCATCCGAAAGACTAGACAGCTGTCCTTGACCGCCTCGAAAAGAATAGAGTCCCTATATATGATATGAACGAAGAAAGGGGATGGGGTGGGGTGGGGGTGTGGGGTGTGTGTGAGGTATTTGACATTTTCATGTGGCCTCGTCCAGTCGATAAAATCAGCCAGTTAGTTCAGTCGAATAATCCAGTCGAATAAACCAGTCGAATAATTCAGTCGAAAAGTTCAGTCGAATACTTCAGTCGAATAGTTCAGTCGAATAAACAAGTCGCTCAATATTAAGTAGCGGTGGCAGCGGGCTAAGATAATTAGTAGCAAATCATGCTCGTAGCCATAGCTGAAGGAGCCGGGGGCATGGGGTAGGGACCTGGGGGCTTCCCAACTAGTTTCAAGAAATGAAATGGGGTTTTAACGTCCTACTGTTCTGCTTGGAACTGGGCTAATGAAGACGGGCATACGCCATACACTGTGGGATGAGGGAAATTTTGCCCGGACAGCGGCACTACGGCATACTCTTATATCGAATTCCATCTGTCAAGGGATCTTTTACGTCCACGCCAATGTATACACGGGACCTTGGTTTTTGTCCCATCCGAAAGACTAGACAGCTGTCCATGTCCGCCTCGAAAAGAATAGAATCCCTATATATGATATGAACGAAGAAAGGGGATGGGGTGGGGCGGGGTGTGTGTGAGGTATTTGACATTTTCATGTGGCCACGTCCAGTCGATAAAATCAGCCAGTTAGTTCAGTCGAATAATCCAGTCGAATAAACCAGTCGAATAATTCAGTCGAGAAGTTCAGTCGAATACTTCAGTCGAATAATCCAGTCGAATAAACAAGTCGCTCAATATTAAGCAGCGGTGGCAGCGGGCTAAGATAATTAGTAGCAAATCATGCTCGTAGCTATAGCTGAAGGAGCCGGGGGTATGGGGTAGGGACCTGGGGGCTTCCCAACTAGTTTCAAGAAATGAAAAGAAATGAAATGGGGTTTTAACGTCCTACTGTTCTGCTTGGAACTGGGCTAATGAAGACGGGCACACGCCATACACTGTGGGATGAGGGAAATTTTGCCCGGACAGCGGCACTACGGCATACTCTTATATCGTATTCCATCTGTCAAGGGATCTTTTACGTCCACGCCAATGTATACACGGGACCTCGGTTTTTCGTCCCATCCGAAAGACTAGATAGCTGTCCATGACCGCCTCGAAAAGAATGGAGTCCCTATATATGATATGAACGAAGAAAGGGGATGGGGTGGGGCGGGGGGTGTGGGGTGTGTGTGAGGTATTTGACATTTTCATGTGGCCTCGTCCAGTCGATAAAATCAGCCAGTTAGTTCAGTCGAATAATCCAGTCGAATAAACCAGTCGAATAATTCAGTCGAGAAGTTCAGTCGAATACTTCAGTCGAATAATTCAGTCGAATAAACAAGTCGCTCAATATTAAGCAGCGGTGCAGCGGGCTAAGATAATATAGTAGCAAATCATGCTCGTAGCCATAGCTGAAGGAGCCGGGGGCATGGGGTAGGGACCGGGGGGCTTCCCAACTAGTTTCAAGAAATGAAAAGAAATGAAATGGGGTTTTAACGTCCTACTGTTCTGCTTGGAACTGGGCTAATGAAGACGGGCATACGCCATACAAGTCCACGCGAATGTGTACACGGGACCTCGGTTTTCCATCCCATCCGAACGACTAGACAGCTGTCCTTGTCCGCCTCGAAAAGAATAGAATCCCTATATATGATATGAACGAAGAAAGGGGATGGGGTGCGGCGGGGGGGGGGGGGGTGAGGTATTTGACATTTTCATGTGGCCACGTCCAGTCGATAAAATCAGCCAGTTAGTTCAGTCGAATAATCCAGTCGAATAAACCAGTCGAATAATTCAGTCGAGAAGTTCAGTCGAATACTTCAGTCGAATAATTCAGTCGAATAAACAAGTCGCTCAATATTAAGCAGCGGTGGCAGCGGGCTAAGATAATTAGTAGCAAATCATGCTCGTAGACATAGCTGAAGGAGCCGGGGGTATGGGGTAGGGACCTGGGGGCTTCCCAACTAGTTTCAAGAAATGAAAAGAAATGAAATGGGGTTTTAACGTCCTACTGTTCTGCTTGGAACTGGGCTAATGAAGACGGGCACACGCCATACACTGTGGGATGAGGGAAATTTTGCCCGGACAGCGGCACTACGGCATACTCTTATATCGAATTCCATCTGTCAAGGGATCTTTTACGTCCACGCCAATGTATACACGGGACCTTGGTTTTTCGTCCCATCCGAAAGACTAGACAGCTGTCCTTGTCCGCCTCGAAAAGAATAGAATCCCTATATATGATATGAACGAAGAAAGGGGATGGGGTGGGGCGGGGTGGGGCGGGGTGTGTGTGAGGTATTTGACATTTTCATGTGGCCACGTCCAGTCGATAAAATCAGCCAGTTAGTTCAGTCGAATAATCCAGTCGAATAAACCAGTCGAATAATTCAGTCGAGAAGTTCAGTCGAATACTTCAGTCGAATAATCCAGTCGAATAAACAAGTCGCTCAATATTAAGCAGCGGTGGCAGCGGGCTAAGATAATTAGTAGCAAATCATGCTCGTAGCTATAGCTGAAGGAGCCGGGGGTATGGGGTAGGGACCTGGGGGCTTCCCAACTAGTTTCAAGAAATGAAAAGAAATGAAATGGGGTTTTAACGTCCTACTGTTCTGCTTGGAACTGGGCTAATGAAGACGGGCACACGCCATACACTGTGGGATGAGGGAAATTTTGCCCGGACAGCGGCACTACGGCATACTCTTATATCGTATTCCATCTGTCAAGGGATCTTTTACGTCCACGCCAATGTAT